CGGGGCCGCGGGGGGCAGGCAGCGGGAGAAGGGGGAACATCAGTGCGGTCCCTTCGGGGGGGGGCTTTTTGCACAGCCACCCGACGAAGTGTATTTATTTAAAAAAAAAAAAAAGTGTTATCTGCAGAAGCTGACGGGTAGGTTGTTTCCAAGGAGGCTTTGTATCCTTTTGTTAATTGAAGAAGTGCATTTGCTACTGGCGGCAGTATTGGGGAGGCTGTACCGCTGAGAGGGATTACTGCAGAGGAAAGTACGGTCAGTTCCCTGCAGGAACAGGGGCAGATTGAGTGCATATAGTTCAGGCATTTGTCAGAGCAGGTAATTCCTGTTCAGTAGTAACATTCTGTAACAAATGAAGATCAATAGTGGTTATTAGAAAAGGTTTTCTACTGTAAGTCTAACTTGTAGTTTGCTTTGTGTGTTTAAGTCTGCTCATGGTAAGAACTTCGTGTTACTAATGCTTTTCCTTTTCTCAGTGTCTTAGGAAGCTGTAAGCGTGTAATGGAAATTCGTATGTTTGTGTTGTTATCTTGTATTTGTGCAACAACTAGATCTGCATGAACGGTGAATTTAGCTGCTGTAAAGTCGTAGTTCCCCTCTAGGTTAGTAGGAAGAGAGAAGTAGGCCATAAACACTTCTGTGCCTAACTGATTTTTGTCTGTAATTTGTATGTGACAAAAGTTTCACGAGAGCAGAACTACTTAGTTCGATTGTGGTAGTGATTTTGGGGGGGGAGGGGAACAAAAAACCAAACACCCTAATATTAAGGACTGAAGTTCTTGAGCTATCTGTTTGCTGGCAGTGTGGGTGAGGAGAGGGAGTGAAGAGGTATTGTGTTCTGCGTGGATTAGATACAGCAATCACCTGTTTTACAGCAGAGTGCGTATCTTCAGATCAGACATCAGTTTCAAGTAGAACACAGGCTAGTCAATACTGACAGGTGGCTGATGCTGAAGGGGGGCTTCGCAGATAGGAGACAAATGTAAACTAAGAAAATTTGAGTGCACAGGGTGGGAATAGAAATTTTTTATAGTACAACTAAGTACGTTGCACACTTTAATATCTGCAAACACTCACTGCAAATAAACAAAAAAAAAAATTCAAATTGATGTATGTGTTTTTGTTTTTCAGACCCCATCGGCTGTTCAGAAGATAAAACAGCTTCTTAAAGATAAACCTGAGCATGTAAGTATAAGCAGGGCCAACCTGTAGATTGCGCTAAGGTATCAGCACAGCTCATGATTGCCAAGCATTTCTGGCTAACTTAGAAGTTTTAAATAAACACTGAGGTGTTTATTAGAGATGTTGGCATCTTTTTTTGGAGGGGAATGCGTAAGCTTGTTTATATATCTAGCTTCGTTTCTTTATAAAATGAAATGCAGGAAATAACTAACTGTAATGACATTTCACTGTACAGTTACTTTTGAGATGGATAAAACTGAAGAAAATGAAGCTTTCAAATATTTTTTTAGCTATATTTTAATGAAGTCTTTTAGTATGGCATAGTGGTGATATTGGTGACTTCTGGTAGTGAAATATATATTCAACTGTTGATATTAAGACGTTATTAATAAAGTTCTTGTGGGAATTCTCACTGTGAGGTATATAATAATAAAGTTAGATTCATACCCATTGGAGAACATCTAATTCTTAGGAAACTTGCCAGACAATGTATTTTTTTAAGTAACCAGCATTTCTTCAAGTAACTGATTGAGCTCGTCATCTTTTCTACTTGGGGAAAAACACCCAGAGTCTTGCTTTCTAACCATTATAAAAACAAGCATTAGATTTTCTTCTTTGTAGTAAGTATTATTTCAAGAAGAATACTTCTTTTTTAACTTTCATACAAGGCTCATTGTTTCTTTTTCTTCCTGCATATCTGCAACTAACTAGACTCTTTGTTCTAATGTTTTAAACCATCCTAAGGAAGCCCTGAGGCTACAGCTTAGCTGGTCAGTCATCTCCTTGCTATAAATGGTGTTTGCGTTTTCCAGCCCATTATTTCTAGCAGTTCCTGTAGAGAAAGGTATTTAGTCTGAAAAGATAAAGTGCTGTTTGTCTGAGATCCCACTTGATGACAAGTGATATGTTTTGATACATTTTCATCATAACAGTGATTATGGAAATAGACAGTATAATTTTCCTCTTCAATTATGAAGCATTGGTACATTGCACAGATACTTTTGAGAGATTGTTGTACACAAATATTTTTCTGTTTCTTTAAAACTTTTTCTCAGTTCTTTACTTACACAGATGCTCTTTTTGCCAGACTTGTTGGATACTGTGAATGTTACAAACATGATGACCAGGTTGGCTTTTAGGGTTGATTAAAAAGTAAGCAAATAGACATACTTGATTTAAGGAGGGGATTGCTTTTTAAGTGAGACTGGCAATAGAGGTAATGAAGAAATCAAAGTACATTTTTCAAAACTTTGGTTTGAAGTAAGTTTTCTGATGGTGTCATTACAAGAGTTCTGTGAAAATCTAGTAGCTGCCCTTGTCTTGGCCTCACAGCTTCATAATTGTGTCACTGTCAATAATCTTAACACAGCGCCTGAATTAGCATCTGAGTAAACTTTAATTTGAAGTCACAAAAATATCCGTCTTTGAAATTTGACTGTCTTTATGAGACCAGGCACCTACAGGAGTGCCAACAGTTTATTACTTCAAAACTTCAACATACTTTAGGGCTTGATCCACAGTAGTGAACACCTAATGTTTGCTTTTGCCTTAGCAGTCAATTTTGTAAAAGGAAAAAATTTTTACCTCTTAATCCATTAAGCTAATTCACTTCTGCTTTGAGGCAGTGGAGAATAATAAGCATTTTGTTGTTCTGCATACTTTTTATCTTGGTGTTCCAGAACAGGTTTTAAAAAAGTCACGAATGTGGGGTTGTTTTTTTGTTTGTTTTTTTTTTAGGTAGGTGTGAAAGTAGGTGTTCGTACGAGAGGGTGCAATGGACTTTCTTACACATTAGAGTATACAAAATCGAAAGGAGACTCTGATGAAGAAGTAGTTCAAGACGGTGAGTTTCTGATGCAGCAGAGCAAACTTCTGTGGTGGTGGGGAAGAATAACTTATTACAGGTTTGCCAAGATACAGGTTAGAACTTACCTGAAGTAACGAGTTATAGCAAGAGGTCTTACTGTTCTGTTATGGGAATTGTTGTCACCTTCATTTCTGTTTTGAAGTAACGAGTTAGTCAAAATCTGCAGCTTTGCAGTCTCTGCATCAGAGGCTACTCCACCAGAATAGTTTAGTCCATCATTCCTATCTTTGGAGGTGGCTAATAGCAGATATTTAGAGAAAAATATAGAACAATGCATATATAAAGAAATACTTTATCAGCATACCTAAACCAAGGCTTGGCAAAGTAAAGATTTTATTTGCAAGGGATTTTCCCAATTATCTTCTCTAACTAGTCTTATTCTTCATTGACTTGTAATTTGTTTTTAACCTCTTTATGTTTTTGACCTTTACATTGCTTTGTAACAATGGTTTCTATGATTTTAATTTAAGAGTATTTTAAAAGTTGTTTTCATATGCTGGTATTTAAGCTTGCTGCCTGCTAATTTCATTGAGCATCCTATGATATGTCTATTGCTAAACTTCTGCAACCGCAACTCCTGTTGCGGTTTAACCCCAGCCGGCAGCTGAGCACCACACAGCTGCTCGCTCACTCTCCCACCATGGGATGGGGGGAGAATCAGAAGGGTAGAAGTGAGAAAACTCATGGGCTGAGATAAAGACAGTTGAACAGGTAAAGCAAAAGCTGCTCACGCAAGCAAAGCAAAACAAGGAATTAATTCACCACTTCCCATAGACAGGCAGGTGTTCAGCCATCTCCAGGAAAGCAGGGCTCCATCACGTGTAACAGTTACTTGGGAAGACGAACGCCATCACTCCAAACATCCCGCCCTTCCTTCTTCTTCCCCCAGCTTTATACGCTGAGCATGACGTCATATGGCGTGGAATATCCCTGTGGTCAGTTGGGGTCAGCTGTCCCAGCTGTGTCCCCTCCCAACTTCTTGTGCACCCCCAGCCTGCGTGCTGGTGGGGTGGTGTGAGAGGCAGAAAAGGCCTTGACTCTGTGTCAGCACTGCTCAGCAGTAATGAAAACATCCCTGTGTTATCAACACTGTTCCCAGCACAAATCCAACACATCGTCCCATACTAGCTACTGTGAAGAGAATTAACTCTACCCTAGCCAAAACCAGCACAGTTCTATACATTTTTCCAATTTTTATAAAAATTTGTCAGTAGTCTTTTTGTTAAATATGGATTTTTATAGAAGCATAATAGTGTTTATTTTGGTTTCTGTTCTTTTTCTAAAAGTTCCTAAAATTCCTTTTGTGGGGGTGGTTTTGGGTTTTTTTAGGCATTACTGAACTCAGTTATATTATGTTCACGAATATTACTTTTAATTCGGTGGCAAAGTAAGAGATTTGAGTATAAGTGGGATATTACAATTATTTTCTTACAGAAGCTATGCTGCTAGGCAGAGCCCATCTTCCAGCTGTCTTTGAAATACCTGTGACCAACTCATAAATTTTATTCTCTTAAACAGAGAGTTAGTTGGAACTTCAGCAAATGATTAAATTGAACCAGAGTGTGTGAGACAGGGACTGCTACCTAATTCTGCAGGTGCCTCTTGAATTCAAATTCAGCTGGCTTCTGGAGTTAACCTCTTTTGCTTGACTGAGAGCTGCTCTAGCTTTACAGGGCTGAAAATAACATTTTTCAGGAGGCATTTCCTGGTTTGGATCTTTAGGAAGATAAAAGCAGTTTCCCTCAGTCAGGTCAGACACCTTAAGTTCTAAAGCCAGACAGCATTTCAGGTGTGCCTGTGTGCTTTCTGTTTTGTTTTGGTTGCTTCTGGATGGATTTCCAGAGAAGACTCTGACTCTTACATAGCTCTGCGCTCAGTGAGCTGGTGGCTTTGGATCCCAGCACAAATTTTCTGGCTTTTAGGTAGTAAGTGACTGCTTCAGGGATCACGTCCATGAACTCTTTCATTAGGTTTAGCCTTCACTGTCAGTTACTGTCCAAATTGACCCCAGAAATGTGTAGATTTAACTCAGTTGCCCACAGACTTGAGTTGTGTTAGTAATACGTCTTGTCTCAATGTCTACTATGATGAAACAGCTTTCCAGCAATCTCTCATGTAACTTAATGAGTTCTTGTTGCAGTTTACTGATAACAATTTTACATTGTTATTTTTATTATTTCCTAGTCTGTGGACAGCTAAAGCAGTCCACTTGCACCTTTATGTCAGATTTGCAGTTTTAAAGTTCAGTAACTTTCCAGAGGGTTAGATACTTTGTATACTTTAGAAAAGGGAGCTCTTTCTAGTTCCTAAGATGAACTACTAATGCTTAATCCTTAAAGGTTGTGGTATCTTTGAAAGTTCACACATTTGCCTTATTATAGGATTCAGTATTGCTAATAGTTAATGTAGACCTAATAGTTTGGCAGAGCAAAAAATAATCATTTGAGAAAGGAACGTTTGGTTTTTCAAGGTTTTTGGGCATCTTGTTGGATGCACAGACTTTAAGAATGGTAGGAAATGGGTTACTGACTGTAATGCATGAGAATTAAGTATTGAAGATGAGATTTGTTCCCAAGTTGTACAGCTTATTTCCCTGGGTATCATGTTTTTAAGTCTCCCCCCTCAAAATACATACATTCATGTGCACACACAAATAACAGTGCTAGACTGTTGCTAGAGTTTTATAGGTAGAGTGAAAACAGCGATGAAAGTGCCCCATGTTAGGCCAGGGAAACCACGTTATACTGGTAGTCTTCATATTTAGCTTCCATCTTTTAGCACTGGTCGAAAGATAATTTTAAAGTGAATGATGATTTCGCTGTATGTAATTTTTTTCTTTGTCGTCTTCAAGGGGTTAGAGTGTTTATTGAGAAGAAGGCACAGCTGACACTTCTAGGAACTGAAATGGACTATGTAGAAGACAAACTGTCCAGTGAATTTGTCTTCAATAATCCAAACATCAAAGGAACATGTGGCTGTGGAGAAAGCTTTAACATCTGAAATCTCAGGACTACTTTGGCTTTGAACACCACAAAACACTTGCTATTATGGCTTTTGGAAGCATATGCATTTTCTTCAGGTTCGTAGGCTGCGTAAAGTGTGGATACCATTAAGAAAAATAAAGTTAAATCATTTTGAAAATGTAGATTTTGTGTTAAATTCCACCGCTGATGTAGTTATGCTGTAATTTCTGATGAGTTGGGATCCAAAAGGTAAGAAGTGCTGTAGTAACATATCTGTACTTTCACATGCCAAGGAAATAAAATCTCACTGTTCTTTTCCTTTGTCATTTTCTTTGTCTACTCTAGTCAACTTTCCCATCCAAAACCTATTTGGAAGAATATATTTCCTATGTGTTCTGCTTTGATTTGGGGAAAAGAGGGAAAGGGGAAAAAAAAAAACCCAAACCAAAAAAACCCCAACCATTTAGAGGTGTTTGTTTATAAAGATTTATATACACAGGCACACAGTCCTCAGCTTCAGAGTTCACTATGATTATGTAGATGCTTGCTTTGCTTTTGTAGTTTTTCCTGGTGCTTTCATCTTTTTATGTATGGATTTTCTGGTGGTTTATTTTCCCATAAATCCGGGGAAGTCCAAAAAGATGTTCATGTATTAGTATAGTGGCTACCATAGCACTGCTTGTAGAAATACTTTAAAATGGGCTAACCCAATTTTAATTCTGTTCCTTTCCTTGTTGAAGGCACAGTCTCTGCTGTGCTTAGAAAGTCGTTTTCGAGAACACGAAATATATTCAGGCACTGGAGTACTAAAGCAGGATACACACAGGCCTTGTTTCTTGCATTTCTGTTTATCTTTCTTGGCTTAAATTGCAAAGTTGGTAAAACTGCCTCTAGATTCTGATTTCCCCATGTTCACAGAATGTGCTGTCTGTGCACCAAAACCTATGAACGTTTTTTTTGAGAGAGAAATCTTAACATTTTTCATTACTGTTTTTTTTTTGTAGTCATGTCTGCTACTAATTTTGTTACAGCTTGAGCTCTGGTTTGTAACTCTGTAGGCACTAGGGTTTTTCACCAAAGCTTACAGTAACTTCTGTTTAGCTCCTGTCTTGAGGTTAATTTGGTAACAGGACAAAAAGAATTTGTAACTTAAAAAAACCTAGTATGTCATAATTGTTTTAAGTTACTCTAGACAGTAATTAAGATATTATGTTTATAGGAGGCTGTTTTTTCTTTGGAATTTAAACTTACTTTCACCTAAGCAGAATTTTGTTTTTGTAAGCCAGTGTTTTTGAAGCTTATAAAGTCTTCAGCACTTCTTTGCTCATGCTCAGGCAGCAGTGTAAATGTCTCTCCAGGCCTTCCCAAAAGCTGGTACGAGAAAAGTACTGTTCCATCCTTTTATCTCCATGTTTCCCCGATTGTCCAAAGATGACGTTGCGCGGCTAAGCTGCTCACTTGTGCCGAAGAGAAGGTAATATGTCTGCCTGGGCAGCTGATCGGAACAGCTGGTGAAAAGGGTGCAGGAAGAAAGTAGGGGACAACAGGGACTGGGATCTTGCAGTCAAGGAGAAGGAGGTGTTGAGATGGGAGTGAACTGGGAACATTAAGGCTGCATGTTGAAAATCCCGAGGTCGTGTTGATCTGGACAGTTGTACCCATGTGCCTGACAATAACTTTGGAATAGTAACGTGCTGAAGACATAGGATTGTACCTACATTTTATTCTTCCCTCTACAGCTTTTCCCAAATGGCTTGGGAAAAGGTGTAGAGGGGAAGAATAAAAATAAAAAACCAGAGTAATTCTTGGTCTGTTTTATGTAGTGCACAGGAACAGAAGGTCAGAATTTCCACACCTGTAGTTTAATATTAAATACTTGAATTTTGGTTGTATGCTATTTCACCTTTTGATGTAAAAACACTATTTCCTTCAACAGTCAGCTGTTGTACACAGTTACTTTATATAGTAATTCAGGAATTACTGGTAATACACTGTCTGGGTGCGTTTATAGCGCCGTTAAGTCTTTCAGTCTTGCCAAACAAAAAAATGCAGTTAATGTGATATAGCTGCATTAATATGTTTAAAACTCCAAGCTAAGGGCATTTCTTCAGATTGCATTTCTCTGCTTCGTGCTAGAGGATAGGAGTTTGAATGTGGTAGCACTGGTGGTTGCTAAGACTGCTAGAACTTACTAATTTAACTTGTTTTGGTGTGGTTTCGGGTGGGAGGGTTGGTTTGGGGTTTTTTTAGACTTGTGGCACATATAGCAGTCCTTTTCATGTGTTTTGTGTATATGCCTTGAATGAAAGTTTGCACTTTCATACTCCCATGAAATAATCCTCTAAATTGTCACTTTACTAAGACACCTAACGCACAATGTGTTAAACTTCTGTTAAAGTGCTATTTACAGTTATGTAGGAACATGGTTTTGTTGATTGGTCCATTATAATTTTGTGCAATACTGTTTGTAGAGTTCCCAGTTATAATAATAAATATTGCCTGTTGGTAAACATGAAATATTCCTGCCTTGAATGATTCTGTTTACAATAATAAACAAGCACGGGGGGGTTCGGGGGAGAATAGGCTTGTATGCTGGGATTACAAAGTAGATAAAATATTACTGTTACCTGAGTTAATGTTTCTCAGAAATACTGAACATTTTCACGTATTAACAGCATTGGAATAGCATAGAAACATATGGCAAAAAAATTAATTAACTATATGCAGAAAGGTATTTACCCATACCAGAAGCGTGGGCTGTTAATGCATAGACTTGTATTAAACTTCCCGACACACCGTTCTCAGGGTAAAAATTCTAACAGGCAAGATGCTTATTTTGAAAGCTTCTGCATGCCAAAAAGTCACTGTGGTGTGCTTTAATGCAGGATAATGATTTCGACCAAAGTAACTGTTGACATAAAAGGTTTTTAATTGGCTAGGCAATTTGAGGGCGAGAGTGAATGGGCACTCCTGGCCATTCCACTTCAGTGCTGTATAGTGGCACTGATACGCCACAATATACTATGTTTATGACACGTTTTGGGTTTCCTCTTACATACCATCTTTCCACCTCCAAAGCTAAGTTTCCTTTTCCTGTTATGTGAAGATTCTGAATGATAGACAGTGGAGTAATGTATTTTGGAAAAATGCCGGAGATTGTTGATACAGTTGCATATTCATGATGCTGGAGAGAGAGAACCAAATCCTTCGTACTCTCAGGAGCCTGGAAATGCAACAGTTACCTTTCTGTTGGAGTTCTTAGTGAACGTGTAAAAAAACCACTTGCTTGCACCAGCAAGTCAGTATTCCTGATCCATCCCTTTTTATAGCTCTCTTTGAATAGCTCAAGAAGAAAACTTGTTTAGGAAAACGTTGAACAGTTCAATATGCAAGTCATCCTGACAACAGGTGATGGGACAAAATGAATTTGAACTCCAAAATAAAAAATAAGATGCAGGTAATGGGACTGTGAAAATTAATGTTGAGGAAACATACTTTTTTTTTGAGTTAAATCCTATCTGCCATAGGTTGCTTCTGTTGTTTGGGGTTTTTTATTGTAATTATTATTCTCCCCATTTATTTAAATTCGTGCCTTCACTAGTGGAAAAATTCTCCAACTATACCACTATTGTGCTTACACCAGCTGCCTGGCTGTTTATTAGATAATTTTTTTATGATGCCAAAATTTTGCAGTCTCTTCTGACAGAAGAATTCCATAGTTGTCTAACATGGCAGAGTGTGCACCTCTGTGTTCGTCCCAAAAGACCTCAAAAGAGTACTTGAAAAATTACCCTGTCTGTCTAGGGGCAGGGTCCTAACCCCTGCTTCTCCTGGTAGACTCGGCTGGAAATGCTCGTTCGTGGAACAGAGACCTACTGACACTGGGTGGCAGCAAGTTTCCAGTCCACGCGTTTCAAAAGGCGACTCACCTCTCTCCCAGTACCCGTGTTCTAAGTTTCCTGTTGCATTTCCTGAATAGTGGAGTACTTCTGCTTATACTGGTGAAAACTGTTGTTCAGCTCTGTTGTTCGTCCTTCTTGTATTCTCTCCTGTGCTTTTTACCTGCTCCTGAAGGATGGCAGATGACTGCAGAAATGCAAAATGCCAAATCACTTCAGAGCTCCTGATGCAAAGAGGAGCAGAGCATAGCTTGCTGGCCGGCTTTGGGTGTTGAAGCATTGTTTGTTTCCACCATTCCTCCCCGTGCTAGTAGTGTGCTAATGTACCTCATTAATGTCGTGTCCAGCTCCAAATTATTGCAGATTTGTTTCTGACAGTTAGCTTTTACCTCTAGGGTAACAGAAGTTCCTTGCTGGGATGGTACAGTCCAGAGAGACAAAGAATCTCACAAAACAGTATAGCCTCCATTCACAACAGAAATTCTCTCATCCCCTACACCTTACTTATCTGGGTTTTTTATTGATTGCATAATGACTTTATTGCACGTGTTTTTAATGAAAAATTCCTTTTGTAGCT